CGACGCCGACGCCGCTCAAGCCGGAAACGGGCCCCTAAGAGCTGCGCTCTAAAAAGTATAACAGCAAGAGGAAGAAAGAACGCGGTTGCGTAGCGTCGCCTCAAATATAAAAAGTAGTCTTTGAAAAAAGGAAGGAGTTGCTAGACGGTTTAACGGGTGCCGGCCATACAAGACGACGAAGTCGTTAGTCGTCCTGGCGCTAACAATCCGAATTTGTACACCGTATATAACGTGACCGAAATCACATTTATTTGCATATATACGACGCTCTCCTCTTTTCCTTCCACGCGCGAGAAATCTGTTTTTTTTTTTCTTGTTTTTTTTTTGTTTTTTTTTGTAATTCCGTTTTATTAAAGGAGCGGTGCAACAATATTCAATTGGAATGTTTTCCTCTCTACACGAGCTTACTGGCACACCTGGGACTCAAAGATACTCACACGCAACGCCACTGGCCAAGAAACTCCTTTGTTGCGGTGTAATTTCAAGGACAAAAGCGATCATTTTCATTCAATCTCTCCTTTGCAAAATTTGATGACGTAACTCGGGGATCGCAGTACACCCAAGTGACGATATTTGAATGCGGTTCATAGATTGGACCCGAGCATTGCTTGGGCACTCGACTTGGGCTCGTGACAATTGCTACCTCGAGAAGCATTCGGGTTGTGACCCGTGTCCAATCGCTGCAACGACGACAACAGCCGAGCCATAACAATGCCTGGAACTCAGCGCGTGTCCTGCGCTTTGCCAACCCCAGCGCGTGGCTATGATCAACACTGGCGGCATATAATCGGCTCCAGATCACGTGGCCGCTTGTTCTGGCTGCGAGTTGAGGGGGTGAACGCTGCTCGTTTCTCTTAAATTTTTTTCTGGGACTTCTATTGCGTGGGGTGAAGAACGAACGCGTGTTTCATAGGTCATTAACGTTAGGGATTCGTTTTAAGCGGTATTTGCGCAAAGTACAAAAATTGTTGCATTGCTCCTTTAATTTCAGTAGCAGCGTCAGATTTGCATGTTCCCAATCGACTTCTTCCAGAGCATACTGACATCGCAGTAACGCCCGTAGTTCGAAATTACCTTCTGCTTCTTCATCCGGGGACAATCTTAACGGGATTAGCCAGCTCGCCTATTCGACAAAACGATTATAAGCAAGACATTCACGAGAAATGGAAATTGCAACAACAAAACGAATCGATTGATAAGAACAGTAAAGTTGAATGAAACGTAGCTATGTTCTCACACTTTTGTACATTGCCCTTCTTTTTAAGAAACACAGCGCGAAGGTACATGGGTGTTTTTTCTGGCTTACATAAGTTGTGACAGAGTGTTTTCTTCGGGAGAGCCCCCGAAATTGCAACCTGAAAGCTTTAACATCTTTCCCGCGGGAACAAAATGTACTTCACTAATAAAATGGCGCCTATTTTTTTCTAACATTCAAAGCAGCGAATACCGGTGCCAATATAATTTTTTCTTTGATCACCTCGCATGGAAAAAGGCAAAATCAATGCGTTATGAAGAATTCGTCCGTAGCGGAGACTCCGAGCTCACCAGGGGCGCTGCGATCACTTCTAGTCCGCACTCCGCGGGGCCCCTACTCTCGTCAAGCTTCGGGGTCTTTGCCGCTTGAGGCGGGTCGGGGATCTACTAACTGCTACTAACGAAACGTCATACGCAGGCCTCGTCTTCTAGGTGGAATAGACCTTCCCGGAAATATGTGGTACACCCAGCGTCTGCTTTACGCATTGTGACGTTCAGACGTACGGCTCGTGAAATTATCCAAAAAGCGGATACGAAGTTTGACGTTGGTTTAACCATACCAGATCGTTACGTGACGCGGCTGCCGAAAGTGAAAAGGTAGAGCGGTAGACAAAAGTCATGTAACTGGCGCCCCGCTGCGGCGAGACGCCGAAACACACTTGTCCCGACTCCCGAGCGATGGAATGTCCGCTCGTGCTTCTCGCGTTCCTTGGGCTACCGCGTGCGTTTGTTGTTGTTATTGTTGTTGTTGTTGTTTTATTATGAGGTGTCGGGAAAGGGGAAAACCAGAATATGTGTGGGCCTCAATTAATGGGCAAGTCGCTACCTGGTTGTTGGGGAAAAGGGATAGAAAGAGGGAAGATGAAAATTATATACAAAAAAGAGAAGTTCAGATGTCAATTTTTAACAACAAATCTATTTATATATTTCCGCCCAGTTAGTTATCAACATAGTTCAGAGCCCTTGGTTAGGGAGCGAAGTGGAACCAAATCACAGTTTATCCGCCAACCCAGTGTCCCGAAGAAAGCGCAGAAGACCGCGGAAGGCTTCCTCCGCTGTTCCTCTGGTTCCTCTGGGGTTCAAAAGTTCTGTAATAGTTCCTTATGGCAAGCGAGATAGTGTGTGATGGAAAAGTGCTCTCCTCGGGTGCTATTCTGGTCGCAAACGGGTACCTTTCGAGCTGTGACGTATCGAGAAAGAAGGGGCGGAGCCTAAAACTAGAATGATTCTTGTTTGAGGCTCCGCCCCAACGTTCGGGTTCACGCACGCGGTCAGCTAGAATCTGACGATGCCCTACGTCGCGGTGACGTGTCCACCCAGTTGGGGCAAAGAAATCCCTGCATTTCCCCCTGTTCTTTTTGTTATCTTCTTCCTTTCCTCCGGGAGTTAGAACGAGCGAATAACGGAGAAAAGGCTTCCTTCCGGAAAATGGAAGGAAACAGGAAAAAGTATTATTATCCCTTTATGAAATACGAAAGATTATTTCAATAATTATGACGTAAAGTAAATTTAGCTAAGATATCTCAGCTTGTTTTCTCGAAGTCTTTCGCTACGGTCTTTGAAAACAAACATGGCGAAAACCGCGGTAACGACCTTGTGGTGTTTGTGTCTCGCTTGCGTCGTTGCTTTGCCTGTTTCTGCACGATACGGATGGCATTACGAGAGGAAAATATTATGTGAAGGTACCCTGCGATACCGATCATGCTTTGTGAAGCCGCCGTGAACATAAGCTGCAAATGAAATTTCCTGTTTGCCTGTGAAGGAGACTAAAAATGGATACAGAGCTGACGACGACTCTGTGGTAATATATGACTAGTCATGAGATCGACGCAGAGTGCACCGGTTGTAAACATGCTGTGGATGATGCAGGAAACTTTCTTCGCGCAGTTTTAATAATAGAGAGTTTTAGTAGATCGTTCCGATACCTCCGATAGCCCCGATAACGATACTTGAATGCGCAAGGAAGGCGGTGGCGGAGTATCGGGTATCGTTATCGGAGCCATGGGAACGATCTACTAAAACTCTCTATTGCTTTGCTCCCTTTGCTCACTGCAGTGAATACGACGGTAGTCCCCATAAGCCATGCTCTTCTACTTATTTTTTTATTATTCTTTTTACTTATTTTCATATTTGCAAAAAAAACTCGAAAAAAAAAAAAAAAAAAAGAAAACGGCTTGCACGTTTTTACACGCCCCTACATAGGTAACTCGCTATCCGATTGGCTTCATTGCGCGTGACGATTCAACGCTATTTGCCATGGGAACGTTCGTGAAACTAGAAAGCCTCTGTTTGTCGCTAACAGTCATTTTTCGAGTTCGTGTTGTGACGACAAAATGACGTAAGAACAAAAATGCACGGGACCATTTACATTGTTTTAACTGGACAACCGTGCCCTTGGCGAGATAAACTCAAAAGAACATGGCCGCGATGCTCGTCGGATCGACCACGGCTGGGGTTTGACATGCGTTCGGTCACTTGATCAACGCGCACACGAATGCTTTTGTGCTGTTGAATGAGCCTATTCGGCGGCAGGACCGGGTCGGAGAGCACAGTGGGCTGGCGTTCAACGTCTCCGATATAACACTTGGCGAGATGCAAGACTTGGCTTCTATTTGTGCCGGTGTTATGAAGCTTGAAAGTGGTGTTGTTGTTGTGGCTCGTACGGTAGCCGCGCTGAAATTATGAAGACGGTAATAGACCTTCATTCAGCGTTGCCATGCGTCGAGATTCAGAACCTCACCTTAAAGGGGCCCTGCAATGACTTTTTGACTGGTTTTTAATTTGCACTGAACCTGAGCGTACTGAACGTAGTAACTTAATCCAACTTTTCTTTTCTCAAATTTCGCTTTATTTTAAAAGTTATAGGCAAATTAGAATTACAAAAACAAGCAAAAAATAACCTCCTTCATGACGTCGTAGGTCCTGCCTTGAGTGGCCTTGAACTAGAGGAGGAGTAGTGAGCTCATCGAGCGCACACGGCTGCCGCACTCCGTGTCGACGGCTCGAGAGGGCGCCACTAAAGCAATTGCTGGATAGGCTGTATGAAGCGGGCGGCCAGGGCAGCTCGTATTGCATTTGCAGCGCGACTAAACACTAATTCGGCATAACATTTCATTGGCCACAAACGACAGCAAACACGGGGTAAAGATCAGTTCAGAACGGGAGCCACTTCGCGCTGACGCACCGCCAAAAGGCCAAATCGCCAACAGGGCCCGCGCCGAAGGCCTTCGGAACCGCTCGGAACCGGTCGGATTCTTGAGCCGGTATACGACCACAGCGCCGCCGCGTACATCCGGGACCTTTCTACGCTGCTCGTTTGTCGCAGGGCAGTGTCTGCGTCGACCCGGTCTACGCAACGCCCAGCGTTAGGTAGACCCAGAATTCTGATCTTCCCTTCTTGGTGTCTTGTTGATTTTTTTACGTATGTATTTCTTTCGCGAGATTCCGATTGCCTGTGTACTTAGCCCAAACCTGGGTGTACCACGTGCTTTGATATCTGGGGGTTCCGTGACTGGGGCAACTGGGGTTTCTTGTGGAAAGACCTTCGGCATTTTCCTGTTGAAACCAGACGTGGCTGTCGAGATTCAGTCGATTCGTTCTTTTTGCGGCGATTAAGCGTCTGTTCGTCATGACTGCTGGATTGACGGTCACCCTCCCGAGGCAAAGCAGCCCGCGGTGGACGTGCCGAGGTTCTGCGGGAAAGGACAAGGATGGCCGGGAGACGAACACTTTCTGCAGGAGCCACGAGGCAGGCCATGGTTTCATCGAACAGCCGGGAGTGGAGCGGGATGCTGAAGGATAGCGGCGCTCACTTCAGTGAGGTCAGTCGATATGTTGAAGTTTATTTCTTCATCTGTCATTTGATTACTGCAGCACACCAGCCTCGTTCTGAAAATAAGGATGCAGGGGTAAACGTTTGGCAAGCAGAGGCAGTTTGTGTGCTATATAGATCAACATGAAATATTTGCAGTGGCATGCTCATAGGTTTAGCCTCTTGTCCAGTTAAGACCATAACATGCTCTGCATGCTGACATTGTTGTTATATCTTTCTTATGTTGACAGCTATTTTGCTTAACATAGATGAAGCCACGCGCTCGCGCCAGTAGCTTTGACAGTGTTGCACGCTAAGTATGAAACGGAGTATAGCACTGTTGCAAGAAATATATGTGGCCACGTGGCTTCGTCTTGCGTCTTATTTGCACGCGCTCTTGTGCAAAGGAGGCGCCGTAGCAACACTCTATTTGCTCGCGCAAGTAGAGTGTTGCTACGTTTGTTGCACGTCTCAGCCACTTGCTCGAGCAAGTAGCTTTGACAGCTTTGTTTGAAGGTTTGTGTTTCCGTCCTCTTCTTTTCCCTTGCTGGCGCAGTCGGGGAACGGTCAGGGTAGAGCCACTAAATAAGCTGCGCTTAGAGTATCGGCACTCCGTTCCCCGACATTGTTGTGGGCGCCGCCATTTTGGCTCGTATGCAGAACAAACGCAACGGCCGATCGTCATGATTCAAAAGTGCGACTTCCTCAGCATTAGATTCGGTGTTAGGAAGGTAATGTAATATTGCTTTGCTCTGTCGCGAACGGTTTAAACATTTGTGGAGGGCGGAAAAGCATTTCCTGTGATTTCAGATAAAGCTTCAGATAACTGGCAACCGTGATTTTAAGCCACAATATGGCCAAGTGTCGTTACTCTGAAGCGTAGCTTATTTAGTGGCACTAGGTCAGGGGGGTCCATATCACAAGAGCGAATGACATTTTAGCGAACGGCGACATTTGAGCGAATGATCGTTTTAGCGAATAACGGGGGCGCGCGTTAACCCATCCGTCGCGCTGCGCTTTACGCCGCTTCGCGGCGACAGTCTGCGGCAACTCATTACAAAAATATGAACTTACTTGGCCCACCCGAAAACGCCGCTTCGCGGCGTCCGACTATTCGCTAAAGTCTCATTCGATGAAACGTGGGCGTTCGCTAATACGTCATTCGATCAAGTGAGTGCCTCCCAGGTCAGGGCATGGTGTGCCCCCGGGGAGTGGGGGGGATCTGAGACCGAGTGGGCTAGCGCACACCAGCTCGGAGCACGTGGAGCGAAAGCTCGCGCTGCAGAACCCAGGGATCCTTGGTTCAATCCCCACCCCTGCCCGTTTCGAGCGGGATGAGCATCGTACCGGCGTGCGGTCGTGTATCACTACTGTGTGGTGCACGTATACGTTAAAGACCCCAGGCTAGCAAACGTACTGCACTGGCTAAATTGCTTATCTACAGTGGGTTACAATGTCGCCATGTTCTGGCAGGCTAAACTCGTCCACTATAAACAACTAACAACTAATTTGTTTGGTTTCCTGTCCCTGGGGAAGCTACGCTGGCTACGCCGCTACGTTCGCCTTGATAGCGTGGCGGGCGTGGCACGCTGACACTTCCAGCGCCCACTTGAGCTCTAGCGGTAGTCTGAAGCAACTATGCGTTGCTAGGAGGCGTTGGTTGTGTTTGTTGCTTGAAGCGATTTCAAGATGGCCGGAACTGAGTCGCGGGATAGTCGATGCAACGTTTCAAAGTGGTGCTTACCGGTGTTACAATGTCACTCTAGCACAGCCTCGGCGGGATCAGCGAGAGCGGGACATTGTGGGACAGGCAGGTCGGTTTCATCACCGCTATCATGATTTGAAAATGCTGCCGGCATGCAGCAACCATCTCGTTCGAAGACTTCGTCGTGAGGTGCGAGTACTTGTGAAGTTAGCACCGAATAGCGCAGCGTAATTCATAGCTTCAACACGGCAAACAGAACTGGTATCTCGTGTGTTTCCTTCGTACTGTGAAGGTTAGGAATTACGCAGCACTATGAGCTTTGAACCACTATTCGCACAACCTATTTCTCGTGGTTTTGCCCACAGATCTTTGCTGCACCCCGCTCGTAACGTCCACAGAAGGGCAGAGACGGTGTGTGTATATGTGCGTGTCCTTTTTACGTGCCGCCTTCCTCCTTGTGTGTCTCAGGTTTGACTATGTTAACAAGTGCGACTTAGAGCACCGCAGCGGAAAAGTGCTTAGGAGAAAAAGGTAATTAAAATAGTAGCAGTCAGCCCGTTAGAATATGGTCTTTGAGTGTACAGTATAAACCCTGATGCGTCTAACCTATTTTAGACTGTCCGAAAAAATAAGTTTCCCAACGTTGTGTGCTGCGATTTGCTACAGAGGGGCACTAGGTCACTTCATCATGATCACGTGTAACGCAGCAACAGTGTATTGTAATGACTAGGATTATTGCTACTGAATGAAACCACTAGGTCACGTTGCTCAAGAAAAAAAATATAAACTTGCGAAAGCAGGTGTGGCATGTTGATCATAAATAATGTAAGAAAATATCGCGAAACAGTACTTCTCTTCCACTTGACTTTGGCAAAAAGTCATCTGTGATAACCCTGTCGCTCACCCTTTACTTTAACATAATTTAAGAAGAAAAAAAAACGAGACTGGGGCTGTTTCAAATCTTACCAAAATGGATTCGAGTTACTCTGGCAGATCGTATCACGTGACAGCACAGATTGAAAAACGCTGGACGCCGGTAGGTTTTAGAACGCCAAGGGTACGAAACCCTTACCCTGGAGTAAGATCGAGTAAATTTTGGAACACGGCCTTTGTTTCACCTTATGATGTACCGCAGGTAAGGCTACAAGCGCGAGCTCCATCATGCTCTAGGGCACATCTCGGCGGCACAAGCTCTCGTGCGTTAAGAGCAGCTCCCAACGCTATGAGCTCACGCTTCTTGCCTTCTGTGGGGTACAACATAAGGTGAAACGGAGTATACGTGGTGCAAGTTTGTCTGGGCATGGAGGTCGAGTACACTCCTCACTTTACAGTCAACTGTCAACATAAAAGGGGGGGGGGGGGGGGGGGTGTTAGACCATCTAGGAATGTTGACAGAGAGAGAGAGAGTACGCATAAAAGTGGTGTGTTTTGTGAGACCGACGGCCACCGCTTCTCTCGCTCTCTATGCCCTCCCCTCTGCGGGCCTCCACGACTATTGGTATGAAAGTGAGAACCGATGAACGATCGATAACCCGTAACCGCCACTTTTTCTCTGACTGGTCGAGTTTTCGGTCATGGAGTGTCCGCTTGTCCCTGGCCATCTCTTAATGAGGTGTTGAAAATTCAGGGCATTAAAAAAAAAGCGGAAACCTAGAGTTTCAGTGCATATATACTTTGCTTGCCAAAAAAACACAAACTGTCATTATCAAGAACATCAAACTCTACGCTGTGGAAAGACATCAAGGTAAACTGGGACACCTGCATCCTGCATTGGGCTTTACAATGTAACGTTCGAACCAAATTTTTCTTTTCTTGTGAATAACAGGCGAAACATCCGAGTCAAAAGGAAGCTTTTGACTCGGACGTGTCCAGGCAAGCTTTGCACACCGTGCCTTTGTTTTGAGTGTCGATCAGCGGTCTCAAGTCCGCCTCCAGCTGAACATTTGTCTAGTGCAATATATCGGTGAAATGTGTTTTCCGAAGGCACGGCTGATGTTACCGAGGAGGTGACGAGCTAAGTCGCAAGGTAGTATCATTTTTGCATGCGAATATTTTTTTTGTTCAACAAAATGTGTTTTAAGTGTTTCATGTATCTTATTGCAGTTGGACTTAGCAAGCATGATGACAGATCTGACTGGCTGCCCATACGGCTACATAGGACTGGGTGTTCAGTTGTGCATCTGAGGCCAGATTCACGAAGAGCTTCTCAGTTTGCGACAACTTAGCTAAAAAGTTCGTAAGTTAAGAACATCGTAAGAAGAGGAGAAATTGGTATTCACGAACGCGATCTTAGAAGGCAATTTCGGACATCTTTTTGGCGATTGAACTAGGTTACAGGCACGTCTCAGGCCACGTTGCCCAAATTTCAGCCGAAACCGGCGCTTCTGTGCCGCGCAAATCAATTAAACAGTCGCGGTAATAATCGTACCGAGATCGACGGTGGGCGCCCCGAGAGTTGCGGGAGAAGCCAGGAGAAGCGGAGCTCACGTGACCGATGCGGGGCCAAGAAGCGCGACGTCACAAGAGACGCGTCAGCGACTGGCCGAAACGAGAGACGTGCCCTCGGTCACGTTTTGGTTCGCGATTTTTAGAAATACTGTTCTAATTTCCGCTTGAATAACCGTGAAAAGTATAAATCGGACCGGAAATGATAAGGAAACCGTAGATAAAGCAGCATAATTGTTTTGTAGTTTCTTTCTTTGCTACGCTGGACGCGAAACGGCCAATGAGCAACTATGGGCACTTCGGCATGCGGGCCGCTAGTTACCGGCTGGCTAGTCTGCCGTCCGCCGGCCGCGGCGCGTCTTTTCCGGGATGAAAGATGCGGTGGCGCTGCAAGCAGTCGGCGTGCTACCGACGGGTTCGACGGGCGCAGCTGAGGAGCAGCGAGTTTTAAGTTTTGCGCGCGTTTGCATTTGACTGAGTAAAAGTGGCATGCGTTGCCGCCGCTCTAGTGGAAAACTTTTTGCCATTATGATGAGATCAATTATAGTTGTACAGTGCACTTAACAGCACTGGCATTACTGTTATCTGTGCAACATAACAGGTTCTCGTAAAAATATCCCAGTAAAAACACACCATAGTTTCTAACGGTTTATTACAGACACACAGTGGCTGTTCTTTTTTCCAGACTACATACCACAACGAACACAGAGTCACCATTAAAGCAGCTGATTTGTAGCTTCAGGAAAAAAAACAACAACAACAAACAAAACTCTTGCTTATAATTAGGGTTTTGCCTTTTCGGAGTTAATTTTTTTTTTTTTATCTCAAAATATCTTTTTTTTTTTTTGGGAGGGGGGGTTATTTTTTTATTTTTTTTTGTAGATTCGGTGTTTTTTGTGTAAATTGGTTATGACTTAACCAATTTACACAAAAAACACCAAATCGGTAAAAGAAAATTAAGCCCCGAAAAATAAAACAAAAACACTCCCACTTTCGAGGAAAAAAAAAATGAATAAACTCCGAAAACGCAGAACCCTACTTATAATACACGCTTTCATCTTACTTCAGCCTCCTTTCTTTCAGTAGCTTCATACGCTCCTGTTTCGCCATCCTGTCATTGTTGAGCGCCTTCGTGTAAAATCGAAAACGCAGAAGTACATAATACTTTATTACACCTGTTGTTATGGTGTGTTCATGTGCTAGACAACCTAATGTGGGAAACTCTACTTTCACCAAGAAGGAAAAGAAGTCCTTAATGCTCCTGGAGTGGAGCTTGTGTAAGCTGAAATAAGTTGTGAAACTATCTTCAAGGAGAGTTATAAGGTTCCTAAGGGGGCCAGATGGGTACATCAAACCTCCATTGTCGAAGTGGGCTGTAAATGACGAAGCCTGATCCTCTTCCATGGCGGTGTACTGGTCAGTTTGCAGGAAGGATACACAAACCTCACATGAAGTCTTGTTCACTGTCTTTCTGACTACATATCCAGCAATGTAGTAAATAAGCAAGTCATTGCTTTTTTCTGTTACGTAAGCACTGTGGTCTGACGGCGTGCAAGAGCTGAGTGCTTCTTCTGCGTCATTAAGCTTTCCTTTGTCGATCAGCCCGTCCAAAATGTCTATCGCTCGCTCCTTGTGCAGCTCTGATCCAACGTTTGAAATGAGAGAGTTGATCAGTTCTGGAGAGCAGTTGCCTGACTTGGGTGGCCTGGCTAGATTGTAAAATGCGAGTGCATTGACTGTGATTAAGAACTGGGCAGCAGTAGGGTGATCGTTTGCACCAGATGACTGTCGAACGACGCCGAACAGGTTCTCAAGCCTGTCCTGGCTCAAATTCGCTGTCATTATATATTTAAACCCGATTGTGTTGATGTAGTCAAGCAGATGTAGCGTGCTTTCAATTGTCACATGTAGCCCTTCTGCTGTGCTAGAACTCAGAAAGCCACCCACAGTAGATTTTGCGTGGCTTTCCCACTTTCTCAGGTACTCCAGGAACTTTTTAAGAAACTGGTAGTTTGGCGAGCCAGCGTACAAGGCTGCCTTTGGGAATCGCGAGGACATTACCCTGATAACTTTGTTTATCCTCTTGACAAAACTTTCTGTTGGTTCTATTGAGCCACATGCAGCTTCCAGCTTCGCGCGGTAAAGAAAAAGTCCTTTGACGACTTCGTCACCAAATAACTGAAAAGCTGGCGCAACCCTCATTTTTTCGAAAGAGTTGGGGCTCACATGAACCCGAGTAATGGAAGGCATTACTTTCAAAGAAACAGTCTTGCTGTCAATTTTCCAAGCTTCTTGGATAGGGCGAATATGTGCGCGACCCTCTGGAGTGTTGAAGCCCTTTGCTATGAAGGCGTTCCTCACATTTTTTAGCAAGTGGGGAAAATCGGACAGGAAGTGCAGATGGTGCGCTTGTCTCACAGGGTGTGGGGTCTTGCACCTTGTTCCTTTCGCTGTACCTAAATTAATAGAAACCAACTTTAGCTGCACTGTAGTGACTGGTGAAGGCAGAAAATAGTGCATTTGATCCCTAGAATTACCTCGTATGCCAAAGATCCTCCACATTGACCTGTTCCAGCTCGCTCCATCGCAGGTGACAAAGTCTACAAAAAGACCGGCTTTTTCACATAGGATTGTTGCCTCGACAATGATTTTGGCCAAGGTGTCAGCTTTAACATTTCCACGTGAAGCAAACACACCAAGGACCTGTGTCCACTGACCTAAGGAAAGAAGCCAAAAAACAATAAATAAAAGTTTTGTTTCACGCCTGCAATGCAGCACAATAAATGCAATAGCAGAATGGAATCGCTTACCTTGGAAAGGTTGGAACAGAACAACCATCCCATGATCGCAAACTTGCCCCTTCTGTGATTCTGGAGTAAACTGTGCGAGGTCAACGAATCCCTCTAAGTCGCCTAGAAATGCAAAACAAATGTGCATATAAAGTACACAGCAGAGACAAACACTATAGCAGTGAAGAGCCACAACTTAAGAACAGGTTCTCACCAGTTGACTTGACATCCAAGTGCTCTGAAATCTTCATCTCATCAAACACAATGCCTCCATGGCATGCAAACTTGTCCATACATTTCGTCTTCTCAGAAAGGGCTTCAAATATTTTTTGGTTAAAACCGAAGCCGCCTTTGAAACCAAGAATCCGCTTTTGCAGGCACGTCCGTCCAGGCAGGGCAAGTATCTTGTGTCGTCTATTGTGTTCATAGAGTCTCGGACTCTTCATGCGCATTAATATGCATTCAAGAAGCCACTCGTTCGTGTACTGCATGCCCTTTGCCGACTTACGTCTGGCAGCTTCAAAGCAAGCTGTAACAGCAAGCTGCTGTTTCGAAGGCAGAGCACTCATCCTTTGTTGAAAGTCTGTTTTCGACAGCTGCTCGTTCTCGTTTTTCATGCTCTCAACAGCACTCTGTGCTTTTGCCAATTTCCTCTTCAGTACCCGTAAAGCACGGCTCTTCGAAGCTGATTTTTTTGCTTTGATGATTCTTTTCTTCCTGGAGGCTGCATTTTGGCTCAGTTTACGCATATACTTGCACGCCAAGCAGGGCGATTCAGAAATCAGAGAGCATTTTGCTGAAAAGTAGCACCCATTGAAACAAACAAAAGTTTTTGTCATAGGTTTCAGACCATAGCCAGGGCACAGCTTCATGCTTCCGATCTCGTGCAACAAGACTTTGACGTCATTTGCGCTGCTTATACTTTGATTTTTGATTTCCTTTCCACGAAGATAGACTGTTGCTTTTGGAGTTGAGCCCTGTGGCGCAGAAAAATCAAGCACAATGCGACGGCTCACGTGCAAAACACCTAGAGCACCTTCCTCACTCAAATGGCAATGAGCAAAGGTTATTTGATCTGTGTTGCCGTCGAGGTTGATCTTAGTCCACGGAGGTGCAGGCAGCAGATCAAGGCACTCGCGAATGAGAGCAGTGTCCCGAGAAGCATCACTAATGGGCAGGTCAGCATCAGGTTGCGTTTCTACATCCACGCAGTGCCTCTTGACAAGTGGCAGTGGCACCTGATCACACAGGTTACGTTCCTTTCTTTTTTTAGGCACTGGCTTCGAGAAGTACTTGGGCGCGTCCGGAAACACGCTCGGCACAGCGTCCTTCGTCAGCTGCGGCACACTACGTGGTAGCTCAATGACTTGCCCTTGGACGACGTTCTTGAAGGTTCGTTCGATGAACTGGGGCTCAAAGTGTCTCTCACACACGACGCTGGCTTCGCCGAGGGTTCTGTCATCACGCTTGATTTTGCACGCCCACTCTTGCAGCCTCGCGGAGTCTTGTGGAGTTCTAAACAGCGAAAACTTTTCTTTGCACGAGCGGTATCCACTCCTGCAGCCAGGCACGAAGCAAGTGCTGTCGCGGGACTGTCGCTTTCTCCCCGACATCATGCGTTGAGATCTACGAAGTGACCAAAAACGCCAGCCATATCAGCCATTCTACCTGCAAAACTACGCGTGGAGCGTGGCCGGCGTGGCTGGCGCGACCGGTTTGACAGCACGCCGATTCTCCGCAGCGCCCTCTACGCTGTCATCATCGGCGCGACACCTCGCCCCATAGGGAGAGGAGCGCGGACGGCAGACTAGCCAGTATTCCAGGGACTCTACCGGCTGGGCGGTCTCCATCAGGTGATGGCGGAGGTCGCCACACACGTACTCCCGTTCTGTTTGTGTTGGGCACGGTGTAAGATACACTCTTTAGGCGAGGACACGGCGGGGCTGAACGCGCGTTGCGAGGAATGAGATAGTGGTCGTTCGACGGGCATCCGAAAGGCTGCATTATTCCGCGGCCACCGTGCCCGCGGCTGACAGTGTCGCCGGCGGCCAAACGGCGAAACTGTGTGAGAGCGAAAAAAAAGTATCTTGTTGCCATGACACCCCGGTACACCGTGGTCTTTCTGCACGAGCGACAACCTCGCTGGAGCTCTACGCGTGTGGAGCATGAGGCGGCACGATCCGTCTTTGCCGTGCCCACGGGTCGACGAGTCATCTGCCGGCGCCGTTTGAAGCCATAGTGAGGGAGAGAAAGAGAGAGAGTGAAAAGCGAACTTTATCTGCACTGCGCGAGGAGTGCATTGGCGTCCATGCTGACAGATTTGACGAAAAGACCGCGCCACCGCGCCGCTATAACCCATCGCGGTAACCAGAGTCTCGACTATTCACGCTTGACGTCACTCCCTACGTCACCTCCGTTTTCGGAGGCCCAGAAACGAGAATGGAGATTTTTCAGTTTCGGTTTCTTTACTTCTTTTGTAGGCACAGAAATACGCGTCACAAATGTCTACAAAAAATTGGGCGGCATGCTATGCTCCCAAGAAGCATAAAAACACCATATAAAAAAAGTTGAATAAATTCGTCTTCATTGTCCCTTTAAGTGAGAGGAGAAGAGCGACGTTCTCGTACGGAAAAACTAAAACTTACCGGTGCTGTTGCTATGGCGACGGCGTCTTCGGCAGCAAGAACAACCAATCGGAGAGCTCGGCGTGCTTCAGAGCAGTTCGGAGCACGTGGATTCTTAGAGCCAGTGACAAAAGCGCCCAGTGCGCATACACTATTGGCCCTCCCTTTCACCCCGACCTCTCTCTCTCTCTCTCTCTCTCTCTCTCTCTCGTGTTTTTTCAATAACAAACACAGGCGGCTTCTCCGCAAGCGCTCGTCTGGAGTTCTTGTCCGTGCAGTGATATGTCGACGCTAACACGATTTAAACGCGCCCGAATGCCGAGGCAGGGATGCATAACTGCCTCCGTGGACTGCTACGAACTCGATCGCTGCGAAGTCAACACAACTGTCATCGTTGGTAAAAGACGGCCCGTGTCAGTCGTTTGCAAAACGACGTAGACGGAAACAAACTGCCGCGGCGTTTTTTGGCGCCTTCGGAGATGCAGGAGCGAGCGGACGTTAAAAAATATACGTTTGAACTACGAGAATGTCAGCAAGAGCCACGTAAATACCTGTTCACACTCGAAGCGGACGCGCGCATTTGATCGAAGTGCTGGATTCGCACTGTTGGACCGCGAATTGGTAAGCGCTTCTGGACCGATCTTTTACGATTGCAACTCGATACTGACGTGACACTCGGCAAAGAAAGGTTGGACCGGCATTGCGTTGCTCCCACGAACTGTTATAGCTCGACAGTGACGTGCAGTCGTGTCAGAAAAAAAAATGGCATACTAATAACAAAGCGTGCATACCGTGTCGCGAAAGTAATCTATACGGCGTTTATTTGAGCTCTATATCACACAAAACAAGGAAATAGAATCGATGAGAGTCCCTTTTTGACGACAGCGTTCGTCGCCGGTGCGTCGGAAAACAAGGAGATGACAAGGGGAAGAGGTTAACCTCTTAATCTAAAATTGAGGGCAGCCACCAAACTATAATACGGGAAGGGTCCACAAGGGTCGCGCGGGCATATTTCATTCAGCACGCCAGCCGATCTGGGGCAGACGGTCTTGGCCAAGGACCGTCGGGGCAACGCTGCGCAGAGTCGGAGTCCCTGCTAGGCCTATATTTTGCCGAGCTTGCTTGGTCGGGGCCGTTGTAGCTCTTCCCGGGTGTTTCTGGATCCAGCGTTCCTGTTCGTTGTGGTCTGTTTCAAGTACTTTTTACTTTTTTTCTTGCTGCTTGAAGTCGGGACGTGGGAAAAGAGCACGTAGAAAAATAAACGTCCGTTGGTCGTCGCGACCACGTAAGTCAGCGACGCTGTCGGCTATGCTGATTTAAACGTAAAAAGTGCGTAAGACAGCTTCGGAGCTGTCGTGGGATTCCATCGTAACCTGCGCAAAAAGTACGATCATTTCGTTTCGTAATACGAATTTGTTCTTACGTTTTGTCTTACGCACATTTTTGGCGTAAGATCGTTTCGTGATTCTGGCCTCTGGTTTGTCGTCCGTGAAGTTCTTCGCGATCTCCGTGGAGTTGTCATAATCGTCTGTTTAGGCATCAGTGGCGTTTTGAAGCCATACTTGGATAGCTCTTCCAGTTTAATTTAAATGCTGCAGTAACGTAATTACTCACGTTTGTTCGGTGTTCGGGAAGCGGAACAACGATTTTCCACCACACCGCAAAAACTTGTTTTTGCAGTGGTAGGCAGCACAGCATGCCTGTCATTTCCAAGTATGCACTGGTGTATGCCCGATAACGGCCGGTTGGTCAACAAACGATGACTCATATATTGCAGACGTGTCGGCGTGCAATAAAATTCGAATCGAAACATATAATGAGCTTGCACTTTTTAATATAGTTAATGAATATCAAAAAGCACATATGAAGATTTCGGATTAGAAACTCAATCGAAGGCGAAAATAGGAGGTTATCGCAGACGACATTTGAAGAAAACAACAACAGAGTTGCAGACGGCCCTCAAAATATCCGGCACAGTGTAGCTGACGAACTGGCGGTAGTAAGCGCCGAAGCGAAGGAAATAGAGTAAAAACTAAGCCAAACGAGACAAACCTAAATACGCAATGGCTCGAACGTCATGTAAACAAAAAAAGAAAAAAAGCAAAAAAAAAAGTATAACAGCAAGAGGAAGAAAGAACGCGGTTGCATAGCGTCGCCTCAAACATAAAAAGTAGTCTTTGAAAAAAGGAAGGAGTTGCTAGACGGTTTAACGGGTGCCGGCCATAGAGTCGTCCTTGCGCTAACAATCCGAATTTGTACACCATATAGACCGTTCCATTAGGGTCATAGCAGAGAGGGTAACAGAGAAAAAAATGCACTCCCCCTCTCACCCCGCAGGTCGTCCGCTCCGCCGAGTGGGCTGTAGCTAGCGTCCGGCTCGCGTGCAAAATCTGTTTAAAATCGCGTCATTTTTGGAACTTTCAAGCGCAGATGCGCAGATTTTGGTATGCCAGTTGTCGTGTAATATTATGCTAGATAAAAAGACTCACAGGGTCCAATTGCGCTGTTACCTGCGTGCAAATAAAAAAAAAAATAGGGAAAACTGTGTCAGATTGGTTGGTCTCTTTGGCGAAAAGTAAATCCGGTTGCTGTACCTTTTTTACTATACAAAGTTCGTATTGGTGTAGGCCTTTAGCGACCATGAGTGGAAGTCTGAAATAATAAATAATACGTCCTCTCCTGCCGCAATACACGCAGTAGTTGAGGGTAGTACTGCCGGCTGACTCAACTGCTATTTAAGTAACGGAAAAAGGATATGCTAGTTGATCATTTAGCTAAATAGAACAACAGAAAGCTATAGGCTGATTTTGGAGTAGCCACAACTATTCTAAGAACGCGAACCACTTAAAAACGGCGGCCACGAGTGAGAGTTCAATGTTCCGTACTGCCCGCCGATACAGCCCAAAGATGGAGAACGGCAACCTCCTGGTTTGTCGTCTGCTAGCGGAGTCGGGCGCGTGCCCTCTCTCTCTCGTTTTACCCCGCCGAACCCGCTGAACTTCCCGGATGTGTGGAGAGGGCGCTGCGGTCGAAGAAAATGGTGCCGCCCAGAGAGCGCTAAATAGGGTCATAGCAGAGAGGGTAAAAAGAGAAAAAAAAATGCCCTCCCCCTCTCGCCCGATGTCGTCTGCTCCGCAGAGCAGACTTGGACGTAGTTTAACTACTCTACTCAAACTACTGTAGTTTAACTACTTTTTCGAGTAACTTGGTAACTTTCAATTACAACTTGATTTGGGTAATTAGTAGTTTAATTTAACTACTTTTTTCAGGTAACTTCTACTCAAATTACTAACTACTTTCGAAATTATATAGTGCTAATTTTGCCCATCACGAAAGTTTAAGCGCAGAAATGAATAAGACGCCGACAGATGAAGTGGCATTCCCTAACAAGGGGCCCCCTTGTTCGGGAAGGCGTCCTTGGGTCAAGGTGGCGACGAGCAGCCAAAACATAACACCGGCACGCACGAACGCAGGAAGAGATGCTTAACAAGCCTTGGTCGGGTATTGACCTAATCCAGTAATGCACGCAGGCGCCGCGTTTCCAGCTGCAACCGTGAAAGACGGGGACACTCCGAGAGTTGTTGTCTGTCTTTAGAGAGTTCTGACTCAAGCGGTAGATTCCACGGGAGGCGCCACTGGAATGACCTCGCAGCTGGGCGCCTGTTCCCATGGTCGCCTTGCCGTCAGCGCATACGCCTTTGCAAAGCCGGACTCCCCTGCGCACAAACCCTGGCACGGATAATCCGTTCATGGGAGCACGTTCCCGCTTCCAGCTGTAACTGTATACGAGCGACGATGCTTGTTCACGTAATCCTTCGTGTCCTTCCGACCATCCATGCCTGGGAGACCTCCTCTTTGTTAAAAACAATTTACTTGTCAGGCGTGTCAGACGCGTGAGAATATTGTAGTCGCCGGCGAGGACTGCGAGTTACCCTTGGGAGATCCTTTTGTTGGGCCCGGCGTCAGCGGCGAAGTATACTTCGGTTCATCTTCTGTTAAACCAAAACATTTCTTTTTTCAGTAGCGTAGCACTAGCACTACAACGGGACGCGCAGTCGTCCGGATGATCTCATCGTCGTGGCGCGAGACTTGAACCCTTGACGGTCTGGTGCAATCGCTCAGCGTACTCTCAGAACGACGTCGGAATAAAGAGGGGCCAGTCATAACAATCTCAACTTGACGAAGAAAAAAGAAAAA